AAAAAAAAAAAAAAAATCTGTCTTTTTTGTTTTTGGATTTTGAGACAGGGTTTCTCTGTGTAGTTTTGGTGCCTGTCCTGGATCTTACTCTGTAGACCAGGCTGGCTTCGAATTCACAGAGATCCGCCTGGCTCTGCCTCCTGAGTGCTGGGATTAAAGGTGTGTGCCACCACAGCCTGACATTTTTTGTTTGTTTGTTTGTTTGTTTTTCGAGAAAAGGTTTCCTGAAACCTTGTCTTGAGAAAACTAAAAAAGAAAAAAAAAAATCAAACAGTAGCTGAGCCTTTGATCCCAGCACTTGGAAGTCAGAGGCAGGTGGACCTCTGTGCTTTCTGGTCAAGACAGTGAGTGTATAAGTCCCTATGTATTGCCGGGCGGTGGTGGCGCACACCTTTACTCCCAGTACTCAGGAGGCAGAGGCAGGCGGATCTCAGTGAGTTCGAAGCCAGCCTGGTCTACAGAGCGAGTTCCAGGACAGCTAAGGCTACAGGGAGAAACCGTCTCGAAAAACCAAAAAGAGTCTCTTTGTATTATACTTGGCTTTGCTCAGATTGACTTAAAAAACATCCATTTTTTTTTTCAAATTTATGGACGTGTTTCTTCATAATCCACATTGGTTGTGTGTGTGTGTGTGTATGTGTGTGTGTGTGTGTGTGTGGTGTATGTGCATATGTGTAGGGGAGGCAGTGGAGTCCAGAGAATGTTGGGGAATCCCCTCTTTTACTCCCTACTTTATTCCTTTTGAGGCAGAGTCTCATCTCTATAATACCATAATCCCTTTTTCAAAATTCTTTAATTTTTCAATTTTTATTTTTTTATTTTATTTTTTTTTGAGACAGGGTTTCTCTGTGTAGTTTTGGTTCCTGTCCTGGATCTCGTTCTGCAAACCAGGCTGGCCTCGAACTCACAGAGATCTGCCTGGCTCTGCCTCCCGAGTGCTGGTATTAAAGGTGTGCACCACCACCGAGCGGCCCTTTTTAAAAAAATAAAAAATGTGTGCAGATGTGGGGCAAAGGACAACTTTGTGGAGTCGGTTCTCTCCTCCCACCTTTATGTGGGTTGCCAGGCCTGTGCAGCAAGTCTTTACCTGCTCAGCCACCTGGCAGCCCCCATCCATATATAACTCATAGCAGGGGACTTAATTACTTTTCAATGGAAGAGAATATACGTAGTGAAGAGGAAAACGAGTCAATTCTGCCAATTGTGGTGGTGCACGCCTTTAATCACAGTTCTGGGGAGGCGGAGGCAGGCAAATCTCTATGAGCTCAAGGTCAAGCCTGGTCTACATAACAAGTTCTAGGACAGCTAAGGCTACATAGTAAGATCCTGTCTCAAACAAACAAACAAACCAAAAACCAAAACCAAAACCGAACAAACAACAACAAAAACAAGTCAGTTCTACATTATGAAGTGTCTGTTAGCCGGGCACGGTGGTGCATGCCTTTAGTCCCAGCACTCAGGGGCAGAGGTAGGAGATCTCTTGAGTTCGTAGGCCAGCCTGGTCTACATAATGAGTTCCAGGACAAAGAGAAACCCGGTCCCCAAAATCAAACAAATAAACAACAACAACAACAACAAAATAGGGTGAATTCCTAAAGTAGGGCTGTTTAGGTGCTATTATGCACGCAGGACAGTGGAAACATTAACCATTTCTTTGCCGGGCGTGGTGGCACTAGCCGGTATTCCCAGCACTTGTGAGGTGGATCAAGGAATTTGGAGTCAGAGTAGGCCGCATGAGACCCTGTCTCAAAAAACAACACAGAATGATCAACCAACCAACTAACCAAACACAGAAACTCCAAAACGCAATCATGGCCGCATGGCCGCAGCACACCCGGAACCTTAACTGAGCTGACCAGGAAGGACAAACGGAAGTCAGGGGAGGACCGCGGTCGACTCGCAGGATTGTGGGACTTGTAGTTTTCTTCCGATTATGTCCGCCTCGGACTACACTTCCCGAGATGCACATGGAGTGAGCCGGTCCCACTGTTGGGTGGAAATTGTGGACGGTAAGTGTTCTGATCCGTCTTTAGGAAATCCCGCTGTGCATTTTTACAATAGATTCTCTTTGTCCTTTTTGTTTTGGGGGGGCTTGAAGGGGACACGGAGGAAAACAGCTCGTCCCAGCCAAACCCGACTGTTGTTAAGCTGTTTCACGTGTAGTTGGGGCAATGTCACGGAGAAAGCCGGGTCCTGAGCTCAAGTGTAGGGAGCCAAGCCTAAAATGTTTGTCTGTCGCTGGGTAGTTTCTGCATTATATCCAAAGCTATGCCGAATGCTTGTTTATACAATTAGAAAACTTGACAGTCAAGTTGTGTGTGTGTGTGTGTGTGTGTGTGTGTGTGTGTGTGTTGTCTTCTGTGTTCAAACAGCAGAATCTACAATGTACAGTAAACAGACATTATGGGGGAAATGAAGGACTTGAAGGTGTGTATGTGAAGACACGAATAAAATCAAAAGCCTGGAAGATCAGAACAACGTCCCGTGCCGTACTGGGCTGCAGCGTAGCTTGGTGATAGAATAATTGATTACCTAGGGTCGCAGAGGCCCTGGGTTTGATACCCAGCACCATGTAGAAAAACACAGCAACAATAACAACAAACCCCCAAACAACTGACATACTAGAATTCAAATATCTCATGGAGAAATAAGATAAGTCCGGTGTGGCTGGGTGTATCCTGTAACCTTTGGCCTGGGCTACAGGAAGAAAAAGTAATAATTCTGATTTAAAACAAGTAGGGTTACAGAACAAATAGTCTTTGGAGGGATAATATTAACAAAAATATAGATAAGTAGACGGGTGTGTGGCACACGCCTTAAATCCCAGCCCTTGGGAGGCAGAGGCAGGCGGATCTCAGTGAGTTTGAGGCCAGCATGGTCTACAGAGTGAGAGCCAGGACAGCCAGGGCTGCACAGAGAAACCCTGTCTTGAAACATGCCCCTCCCCCCCAAAAAAACTTTAAAAACTTTAAATTAAAATTTATGTGCTTGGATATTTTACCTACACATGTATTTGTGTACCACCTTTGTTCCCAGTGCTTGCAGAGGCCAGAGGAGGGTGTCTGATCACCTGAAACTAGAGTTACAGAAGGTTGTGAGCCACCATGTGGGTGCTGGCAATTGAACCCAGGTCCTCTGGAAAAGCAGCCCGTGTCCTTAACCTCTGAGCCATCTCTCTAGCCCTGTAACGGACCTTTTTCCCTAACCAAACCCCCCCCCCCCCGCCCCCCATGGACCATCTCTCTCTCCTCTGAGTATAGCCCAGACTGTCCTGTAACTCTCTCCTTAGCTGAGTGCTGCGGGCCGCAGGAATCTATCATAAGAACTCAGCTGGTTATGGCAAAGTCACTACCTGGAGGGATCAGGGAATTCCTCCAGAGGAATCCAAATTCCAAGGAGCTTTTGGTGTTATTTGGCTTGTGATATATCAGCTGTCTTCTGTTATGAAAATCATGTGTGCCTTTATAGTTTTTCCAATTGACTTTCCCCTAAGAACGACGAACAGTGTGGACTGATCACTCTCTGGACATACACGTTCCAGGTATTTGGAGAACAGCCTCAGGAAAGGCTTTCTCTGGAATCAGATAGCTCCCTTAACCACTTTCAAGGACTAGCAGTGATAACAGTCCACATGCAAGTCTCCTGATTTAAGGTAAATCCCACAAGGAGACACCACCTAGGTCAGGTGGACGTTAAGCTTTACACAATTTAGCTTGGACCCTCCCTTCTTAACTTCCTCCTTTCCCAAACCTTACCTCTAGTTCCAGATCTCCCTTTAACTATCACCAGAGGCATCTAGCTGTACACTAGGGACTGAACACACCTCCCACCCTGAAGATAAACGACAGATAGCTTGGACAGATAGGAGCCACAGGAAAAAAGAAGGCAGTTTTATTTTCTTCCATTAACTTAGCAACTTACAGATTCTTAACATTTTCTACTAATCATGTTTAAGGCTATAGTTGAGCACATAAGATCCCTCTTCTAGCCGGGCGGTGGTGGCGCACGTCTTTAACCCCAGCACTCGGGAGGCAGAGGCAGGAGGATCTCTGTGAGTTCGAGGCCAGCCTGGACTACCAAGTGAGTTCCAGGTAAGGCGCAAAGCTACACAGAGAAACCCTGTCTCGAAAAACCAAAAAAAAAAAAAAAGATCCCTCTTCTTAGATATTACCCGAATTTAGCCTTTAGTTAATTCATTTCCCCATTGGTCACTTCCCTTTGGGGTTGCAAATGATAATTAATGGTTATTGCCTCTCAATGTGATTCTTATCACCCCTCCATTTGACCCTGGAAGCCTGGCTTTGCACTGCTAAGGGATTACTGCTTATAAGTGTATATATACCGGGACTTCCAGGGCATGAGGGATGGAGAAGAGAAAAGAGAATGGAAGGACTAGATGGGTAAGAACTTGAGGGAACGAACTGAGATGGGGAAGAACTAGACTGAAGGGCTAAAAGAGAGTACCAGAGGAACGAGATGGAAGATGAGGAAGAGCCAGATGGGGAAGTACTAGCTGGGTAAGAACAAGGTGAAAAGGACCTAGATGAGGCAGAACTAAGATGAGAGAATTAAGATAGAACTTAGAGGAAGCAATAGATAAACATAGAGAGAAATCAGGCAAGAAAGGAACTAGGCACGGGAACAGAACTGAAGCTGTGTATAAAGCATGTTTTGCCAGAGGAATTAAAGCAAGTGGACGAGATAGAGCTAGGTGTGCTGAGATTCTATTTCCTGAAAATAGTCCTCGCCGTTAGTAGTTCTCTCTCCTGAGCCCCTGGGATGTATAATATTAAGGCTGGTCCTGCTAATATATTATACAAGAGCTGAGGATAGCCCCAAAGAGCTGAGGATAGCCCCTAACCTTCCTGCTTCTGTCTTCCAAGTACCACAATTCCAGGCAAGGGCCACCATGGCAAATTTTCATAGCTGAAGGTGTTCCCACAGTGGATAGACACTTTTTTTTTTCATTATCCATCCCTTGGTTGGTGGTTAACTTTCTTGGTGAAACCTAGCTTCTCTCATGGATTTCTTTTTCTCTAGAAGGAGAATGAGTGCATTGACTCTCGGGTCAACAAAGGGCCGTTGGATGAGGACCCTCAGCCGGCCGAGCTCGCGTGGCCCTACTGGGTTATTTGTGCCGCCAAGCCCTCCTGTGGACCCTGAGAAGATCAAAGAGTTACAACGCTTCATTACCCTTTCCAAGAAACTTCTCGTGATGACAGGCGCAGGAGTCTCCACGGAGTCTGGGATCCCAGACTACAGGTCGGAGAAGGTTGGACTGTACGCCCGCACCGACCGGAGACCCATCCAGCACATGGATTTCGTACGCAGTGCCCCAGTCCGCCAGCGGTACTGGGCCAGAAACTTTGTGGGCTGGCCCCAGTTCTCCTCTCACCAGCCCAACCCAGCACACTGGGCTTTGAGCAGCTGGGAGAAACTCGGGAAGCTGCACTGGTTGGTGACTCAGAACGTGGACGCTCTGCACTCCAAGGCCGGGAACCAGCGGCTGACGGAGCTCCATGGATGCATGCACAGGTAGGTGCCCAGGTCTACCGGGTTTGGCCCTAAGAGGATGTGTGTGGTTCCCCAGGTGAAGGGGCCTTTGGCTGTCTGGAGCAGGGTTGTCTTGGATCCAGAGCAAAGGCTTCCTGGGCAAGTCGTTGGCTTTGGGGTGAGGCCTAGTGAACCGAGGAGAGGAAGTAGGGACCGAAACAGGAAAAGGAGCAAACCGAGAAAGGATGCCTTCCGGTTGGCCCGTATCCTTGGTGCAGTGCTCGCATGGGCAGAGCTCTGGGTTCAGTGAGTGGGGCTGCATCCGGCAGTGACTCCCAGTCTAGAATACAATTCAGAGTTGTCATCGCCACTGTGCAGAAAGAGCCACCATGAGGGTGGTGAGTAGTATTGTTAATCCTGAGTTTGGGTTGAAAAAAAAATTATTTCGCCTGGCGGTGGTGGTGGCGGCGGCGGCGGTGGCGGCGGCGGCGGCGAACGCCTTTAATCCCAACACTTGGGAGGCAGAGGCAGGCGGATCTCTGTGAGTTCGAGGCCAGCCTGGGCTACAGAATGAGTTCCAGGAAAGGCGCAAAGCTACACAGAGAAACCCTGTTTCGAAAAACCAAAAAAAAAAAAAAAAAAAAAAAAAAAAAACAAAAACCAAAAAAAAAAAAAAACCAATTATTTCACCAAAAGTGAAAGCTAGGGTGTTAATGAACCATCTCCGATCCAATGTTGGTCCAGCATCACCTTTGGGAAATTAACTCCCTAACACAGTCACTTCTCCTTCTTCTTATTTTATTTGTTTGTTTAGGTGGAGACGGAGTCTCTGCGTAGCCTTGGGTAACCTGTAACTCACTATGTGGACCAGGCTGGTCCCAAGCTCACAGAGATCCGCCTGCCTCTGCCTCCCGAGTGCTGGGATTAAAGGTGTATCTCACCACCCTTCCAAAAGTGACTTCACAGGGAGTGGTAGTGACAGTCACTGTAGATGGGCAGGGACAAGTGTGGAGGGGGCACGGGTTTGAGTGCTGAGGATTGGGTGTAGACCCTTTAATACACTTCCTCATGTTGTGATGACGCCCCACCATAGAACTATGTGTGTTGCTACTTCATGACTGTAATTTTGTTACAGTTATGAATCATAGCACAAATATCCGATATGCAGGATATCTGATAGGCCATCCATCTCCTGTGAAAAAGTCATCCAGCCCCCAAGGGGCCGCGACCCACAGGTTGAGAACCCCCTGTTCTAGAGGTGGCAAAGGACAGGAGGGAGAAGACGAAAATGAAAATGGGTGTCCTCAGATGGGGGGGCGGTCCTAGGAAAAGAAAGTGACTCTTTTTTTTTGTGGGGCTTTGAAAATGGTTGGGGCTGCACTGGCAGCTTTATCCCTCGCAGGAACCAATACTCAGCAGGCCTCATATTTGCTTTTAGAGTCCTGTGCCTGAACTGTGGGGAGCAGACTCCCCGCAGGGTGCTGCAGGAACGCTTCCAGGTCCTGAACCCCAGCTGGAGCGCTGAGGCGCAGGGCGTGGCCCCTGACGGCGACGTGTTCCTCACCGAGGAGCAGGTCCGCAGCTTTCAGGTCCCGTCCTGTGACCGGTGCGGCGGTCCTCTGAAACCTGATGTCGTTTTCTTTGGGGACACGGTGAACCCAGACAAGGTTGACTTCGTGCACAGGCGTGTGAAAGAGGCCGATTCCCTGCTGGTGGTGGGATCGTCCCTGCAGGTACCTCACTCTGTCAGGGTCACCCTTGCCCGTTGTACAGGGTGAGACTTCCTAGAGGTTCCCTCTTATTTGGGTTTCCTTTCTAGTCTTCGTGTGTGTGTGTATGTGTGTGTGTGTATGTGTGTGTGTGTGGTTGAGTGTGCACATGTGTATGCAGGCGTGTCAATGTTGGATGTCATCTGTTGCTGTCTACCTTAGGTTTTTTGTTTTTTGTTTTGAGACAGGGTTTCAACAGCCCTGGGTGTTGGGAACCGGACCGGGGTCCTCTGCAGGATCAACAAGTGCTCTTAACCACTGAGTCATCTCTCCAGCCCCTGGCATAGCTTTTGAGACAGTCTCTCAGTGAACTTAGGGGTCATGGAATGACTAGGCTGGCTGGTCAGTGAGCTCCTAGGAACCCTGTTGTTTTCCGTCTGTGAACACTAGGATTACACGTGATTACCACCAAAACCAGTGTTTATACGGATGCTGGGAATCTGATCTCAGATTCCCAAACTTGGATAGCAAGGACTTAACTCAATCCACCATTTCCCAAGCACGATTACCCCTTTGTCGACTGACTGATTGATTCGTCGATTGTGTGTAGGTCAGAGGACAACTGGTGGGGGTCAGTTCTCACCTACCTTCCATCGTGGGTTTTGGGAATTGAACTCACATCATCTGGCGTGGTTGGACCTTTATCTGCTGAGCTATCTCACCGGCCCCTCAGCTCCCTTTTGTCTTTTTGTTGTTGTTGTTGTGTTTTGTTTCTGAGGTCGTAGGGTAGTTCTTTTCCTGGATCTAGCGCGAACTCTCTGTCTTCTGTCTGGGCAGGTGTACTCCGGTTACAGGTTCATCCTCACCGCCCGGGAGAAGAAGCTGCCAATCGCCATTCTGAACATTGGACCCACGAGGTCGGACGACCTGGCCTGCCTGAAGCTGGATTCCCGCTGCGGAGAGTTGCTGCCTTTAATAGACCCACAGTGACCGAGGTCCGATGTTCAGAGGCTGGAAAGGGACTTTCCGTTGTTGAGTCCGGCTGCTGTAGGTAAACACCTTCTCAGACGGAAGGGTCTAGCCAGGTGGAGTGGTTCATGCTTGTGATCCAGCCCTCAGGAGGCTGACTAAAGAGGGTGGCCTGGAGCTCAGGGCCAGTCTCCATACAGAGTGGCTAGATTAGGCCACAGGTGTGAGACCCTAACTCCAAACAACAAAAACAAAACAAAAGCCAGAAGACAGAGTCTGTTCCCTATTAGACTGAGGAGTCAGGTGACTGACCAAGGAGACAGTTCTAGACTTCACATATGACCGTTTTTTTTTTTTAACTAAAACTAACTGTTTTTTTTTTTTTTTAAACAGTGGATGGGGTTTTTACTGTTGTTTTGTTTTTAACCTATTATTTTTATTGTTTGTGTATGATGTTTTGCTTGGGTGTTCGTCTGTATGACATATCCATGCAGTGCCCGCAGAGGCCAGAAGAGGGCATCAGATTCCCCGGCACTGGAGTTGCAGGTTGCAATCCACTCCGTGGGTGCTGGGAACCAAATGCTTTGGGGGCTGAGCCATCTCTCCGGCCCTGTGTTGCTGGCTTCTAAGGACAGGGTTTTGCTGTGTAGCCCAGGCTGGCCTTGAATCTGGGGCAATCCTCTTGCCCCAGCCTCCCAGTGTGCGCTCAGCTCTAAGTCGGGTTTGTCTTTCTCTTTAAGATTTACTTATTTATGTATATGAGTGCTCTGTCTTCCTGTAGGTCTGCACTAGAGAAGAGGGCATCAGATCCCCCATAGATGGTTGTGAGCCACCGTCTGGGTGCTGGGAATTGAACTCAGGACCTTTGGAAGAGCAGCCAGTGCCGACTCTCCAGCCCTTATTTGTCTTTCTGAGAAATCAAAGCAAAACAAAACACAAGATGTCATGTGGTTTGTGTTGCTTCTGGGGAGGACTAGAGTTCAATTCCCAGTTAGATGCTTATAACTGCCTGAAACTCCGGTTCCAGGGGAATCCACCAACATCCTCTTCTGAACTCTGAAGACATCTGCACACACTCATGTAATTAAACATAAATCTTTTTTCTGGGGGTGGGCGGGTGAATTTCGAGACAGGATTTATCTGGAACTCTCTCTGTAGACCAGGCTGGCCTCGAACTCACAGAGATCTACTTGCCTCTGCCTCCTGAGTGCTGGATTAAAGTCAATAACCACCATACCTGGCTGTTTGTATAACTTTAACATTTTTACAATTTCATTTATTTTTGTATGTGCGTCTGTGTGTATGGATGCACAGGTATCATGGTATGTGTGTCTAGGTCAGGGAAGGATGTATAGGAGTCAGATCTTGCCTTCTATCATGTGGGCTCTGGGGATTGAACTCATGTCCTTAGGACTGGCAGCAAGCACCTTTACCCACAGAGCCAACTTACTGGTCTTGGGTTTGTTTGTTCATTTGTTTGTTTTGAGAAAGGGTCTATCTGTGTAGACCTGGCTGGCCTCTGATCCTCCTGCCTCTGCCTCCAGAGTGCTGGGATATTTTTTTTAAATAACTAATTTTTTTTTATTCTGTGTACATTGGTGTTTTGCTTACGTGTAGATATGTGTGAGTGTGCTAGATGCCCTGGAGCTGGAGTTACAGACATACGAACTGCCATATGGGTGCTGGGAATTGAACCCAGATCCTCTGGATGAGCAGCCAGTGCTCTTAACCTCTGAGCCATCTCTCCAGCCCCCAGAGTGCTGGGATTAAAGGTGTGTACTACCGTGCCTGCTCCATCCTGGTTTTTTAGTGGGTAGGCTGATGTTTACAACCATTATTTCCACTCCATTGACATGAACTTGTTTGATTTCTTTTCAGGTCCCTAAGGATTCTTCCCTTCCCTTCAAACTAATGGAAGCTTACCGACTCCGTCCTATAGAGGGCGGCAGAGCAATGTCTACAGGCCTGTCCACCGCTGCCCCCTGCTGTTCACAGGCCAGCCGTCAGAGTCCCGGGGTAGAGCTGCCCTCCCCCACAAGAAAGCCTTCTTCAAGAAGTAGCTGTTCTTGATGGCACAGCTGTGTCCCTTTCATACGACCCGGAAGAAGAAACAGCTGGGAAGTTCGTAAGCCAGCATGGTCTGTGGAGGGCCGACATTGAGATCTCAGTAATTCTGGGGATAACCAGAAGGGCATCTGTAATTCGCTTGTAATTCCAAGTGATTGTGTCTGACTGAAGCACTTTGATATTTTTAACAACGTGAGCAATAGCATAAGTTAATTTTTTTTTATTAACCGAACAATAAATTATTTTTAATAGCATATCAAGTGTGCGGACTGTGCATTTGTATATACAAGAAAGCACGGGTCTTTTGCCAGTGTGCCGCCAGGATTTCTACTGGATGTTAGCTCTTAGAAGGGGACGCCGACCTTGGGCCTGGTTTGTGATGAGGAAACAGTTCATTCCCTGTGGGTTCTCCAGCTGGGATGTTTGATCACTGCGCTCAGTGGAAAGAATCGGTGTGCCCTGAAACGTGAGGCACGTGGAAGACTCACGATCTACTTCGGAAAGCCTCCTGTCTGAGTTGAGGGCAGGCAACACAGGCTCGCTCCACCCCAGCCTCGGGAGCAATCTCAGCTGCCAGGGTGATGCATGGTCTTGGGCTGTGCAGAGTGTGGGGGCTGCCCCTTCATTCATTCTGAAGACATACAGGGTTGTAAATGTCATTCCAGGATTTTTTTCCCTAAAGACATGATTTTTAATTTGTTCATGTGTATCTTCCTGTGTGTGTATGCACAGGTGCCCAATGGGTCCAGAAGAGGGCATTGGAGTCCTTGGAGCTGGTACCCCAGTTGCTCACGAGTGAGCTAATGAAGGTGCTTGGAACTGAACTCTGAAGGCGTAGCCAGGGCTCTTAACTGTTGAACCATCTGTCTAGATATTCTGCTCACACACACCCTTTTTTTGAAATAAGGGCTCACCTGTAGACATACGTGTTTTCTTTGTATTCTCTACTGAGGTAGAATTCTAAAAACACACAAACAAACAAAGAAAAAACCCAACCAACCAAACACAAATCTCTCCCAAGAAGAACTTGATATTTCTGGAAGCCCTAGCTATTCTGGAACTCACTCTGTAGACCAGGCTGGCCTCAAACTCAGAGATCTTCCTGCCTCTGCCTCCAAAGTGCTGGGATTAAAGGTGGCAGATCTTGAATAATTAATAAACTAATTAATTCAGGCCAGTTCAGAGACAAGGCCTTCTGAGGCCCAGATTGGTTTCTAACTCATTACTTATCTGAGAATGACTTTGAATTTCTAATCCTCCTGCCTCTGCCTCCCTAGTTATGAGATTGCAAATGTGTGCCACCATGCCTGGCTTAAATTTTCTTATACTTTATTTTTCAGTGCTGGATACTGAATACGAGAGCCTTGTGCATGCTAGGAAAATACTGTCCATGAACTACATTCCTAGACCCTTTAATTTTTTTTCTTTTTGGTTTTTGAGGCAGGGTCTCTCTATGTAGTACCAGCTGTCCTGGAACTAATCATGTAGAGCAGGCTGGCCTTGAATTTACAGAGGTCCACCTGCCTCTGCCTTCTGAGTGCTGGGATTAAAGGTGTATACCAGCACACCCATCCCAGAAAGCTCCCCCCCCCATTTTTACTTACTACAAATAGAGCACAGCATGGAGTTGAAACTCAGAAAATAGACAGAAGTGGGTTTCAGTCTGTTTTGCTCTTTACTAATTAGATGAACTTAAGTTACTTTGTGTGATTTTCAGTCATATTTTTGAATAAATAAGGACTGGCTAACACAGTTGGCAGAACGGTTGCCTGGCAACACAAAGCCCTAGGTTAGACCCCTAGCACATAAAATGGGCATGGTGGTCCGGACCTGTAATCCCAGCTCTCAGGTAGAGGACTGGAGCTCAAGGTCATCATGCCTACATAGTGAGTTTGAGGCTAGCCTGGGCTAGTACCCTAGACCCTCAAAAAATTAGAATAATAGTTACTTCAGTGGGTTTTGAAGAATGAGTCACATAGCAGAGTATTTGGCCCACAGTAGGCAAAGGCCCCCACAACCATTAGTGTATAGGATGGAGAAGGAGATGACATCAATCCCGCTAAACTATGTCCCTGTGGAGTATACCTAGATTCTTGATGATCTTCCCCAGGGCCTCATTTTTCTTGTATAAATCTAGTTATTCATGTATTTTATATATATATAGGTGTTTTATCTGCATGTACATCTGCACACCAGCAGAGGGCATCAGATCTCATTCCAGATGGTCATGGACTGCCTTGTCAGTGCTGGGAATTGAACTCAGGACCTTCGGAAGAGCAGCCAATGAATGTCCTTAGCTGATGAGCCATCTCTCCAGACCCCTCATTTTCTCTTTAGGTAGTTTAATTAAAAAAAAAAAAATCACAAATAGCAAAGAGCCAAAACAAACTGGAGGTCCCTCCCTTAGAAAAATATTTATTCAACATTTACAACACATCATTTTACAATCCGTCTTCTCGCTTACCCACGGGTCCCACACCTTTATGACATGGCCACTATGGCTTCTTTTAAAAGATGAGGCCACTCAAGAGCTGGGGGTGACGCTTACTGCTAACAGCCTGTCTAGGATGGTCGAAGCCCTAGGTTCACTGATGGCATCATAAACAGAGCTCCGAAAAGCAGGACTCCTGAAGCGCTGTCCAAGGTCGCTTTCTGTTACTGCAGTAATAAACACCACTTCCCATGCAGCTTGGAGAAGAAAGGTTGATCTTATCTTACAGATCACAGCCCATCACGGAGAAATCAACGTAGACAACAAGGAGGAATACTTGCTTATGCAGCCCATGCCCTCCTGTTTAGGGACGACACTGCCCACGATAGGTTGAGGCCTCCTTCATCTACCGAGAAAATGCCCAACAGATTTGCCCACTGCCCAATGTGATGCAGGCAATCCATCTTCTGAGGCTCGCCCTTCCCAGGTGTGTCAAGCTGACAGTCAAGTTTAGCCATTACTGGGGCTGGAGAGATGGCTCAGCACTTAAGAACACTTTCTGCTCTCCCTGAGGACCAGGGTTCAATTCTCAGCAACCACATAGTGGCGTTTGAACAATGTCTGCTGGGCCAATGCCCTCTTGACACTGGGTTTGGCCACCTCTTTTTTTTTTTTTTTTTTTTTTCTGAGACAGGGTTTCTCTGTGTAGCTTTGGTGCCTGTGCTGGATCTCGCTCTGTAGACCAGACTGTCCTTGAACTCACAGAGATCCGCCTGGCTCTGCCTCCTGAGGTGTGCACCACCACCACCTGGCTAGGGTTTGGACATCTCTTTTTTTTTTAAGATTTTATTTATTTATTTATTTATTTATTTATTTATTTATTTATTTATTTATTTATTTATTATGTATACAGTATTCTGTCTGCATGTATGCCTGTAGGCCAGAAGAGGGCACCAGATCTCATTACAGATGGTTGTGAGCCACCATGTGGTTGCTGGGAATTGAACTCAGGACCTCTGGTAGAACAGCCAGTGCTCTTAACTGCTGAGCCATCTCTCCAGCCCTGGACATCTCTTATGTACCCCCTAACTTAGCACCCCAGCACCTCATTTTCCACACTTTTCACATCTTACCCAGATAAAAACCATGTAGGGGTGAGTTGACTTAGTTTTCTCCATGCTCAAGACCCTTCCAGCAGGACTCTGGACACCCACTGCCAGCTACTACCAGTCACTGCGCCTGCGTAGGCGGCTCTAGCTGCACCTGTTGCTCACCAGGCCTGACCTTGAGAGGGGCGAGGCCCTAGCCTTGGGTGGGACAAGAGTGGGGATGGGGATCGGGGTGGAAAGGCAGAGGACTGGGCAGCTGTTCACTAAAGGAAAAGAGAGACTGAGAACCTCGTAGCCCTAAACTAGCCAATTGAGACTTTTTTTTTTCAAACCTGGTTTCCCCCTCGGGGTCCCTTGATAGAGGAGAAGACAGTGATGTGTTCTGTTTTGTTTGTTCAAAAAGTTAGGCTGCTGTGTACTTTAGTGGGACAATTATCTTGTGGCATGTGTTTAGACACAGTGAAGAGTGGAAGGTCACCAGGATGTAATCCTGCCTTCAGGACATTTACCCTCAGTCCAGTTTGGTTTCCTATGTGCAAGTTCCTAGAATGAGCGCACAGCAGAAGCACTTTGAGTCTATCGTTTTTTAGTGCAAAGATGTTGCCTTTAGTGCCCACATGACACTGTGTCTTTCTCTCTTCTCCTCCCCTCTACTCTATCTTCTCTGAGGTCTGAGGACAACTTGCAGGAGTCTGTTCTCTCCATCGACCATGGGAGTCCTGGGGATGGAACTCGGATTCAGACTTAGCAGCAAGTGCCTTTATTCCCTGAGCCATCTTGCCTGTCCAAAGCTTCTCCTGTTAGCTGCTGTGTTATACTGATTCCATATTGACTTAACAATTGAGAGCTGCATCATTGGCTATGAGTCAGATACTGGACTAAACACCTGTGCAGGGCAAGATTTATCATTCTCATTTTACAGGTGAGAATTCAGAGGGCTGGGAATATAGACAGTTGCTGGAGTGCTTGCCTAGCATTCACACAGCCCTGGGTTCCACCTCCAGATCCCATGAATTGAGTGTGGTGGTGCACACCTGTTAATCCCAGCACTTGGGAGTTGGAGGCAGGAGGATTGTCTTAAATTATACAATTTTATGAGTGGAAGCTGATATTTTAGTTTTCTGGGTTTTAGAATTAAATGTCCATGTTGATATATTTTTATGTATAGGAATAGGTTGTCATACCCTGTCTTCTTCAGTTACTCTCTCCCATGTCTTTAGAGGTTGGGTTCTGTGAAACAATCTTTGTACACTGCAAATAGGTATTACTCTCATGATTAAAGCTGACTGGCTGATAGGATTTTCAAGGCAGAGAGAATGCTGGGAAGAAGGAGTCAGAGGAGTCTCCAGAGACACAGAGAGAAGCAAGATGAATGTGCCATGTTGAAAAAAGGTACCACTATGTGGCAGAGGGTAGATTAGTAATATAATTAGTAACTAATTATAATTAGTAATTAATTTAATTAGTAATATAAATTAGTAATATAATTTAATATAGTAATATAATATAATAATAGTAAATTAGTAATATAATTAGTAATTAATTTAAAATATAAGATTTAACTAGTAACAAGCCTGAGCTACTGACCGAGCATTTGGAATTAATAAGTCTTTCTGTGGTTATTTGGGGAGCTGGCAGCCCTGACAAAATAACTCCACCTACAGCTGGGTTTCTCAATAAACAGGACACTCACCTTTAGGTAGCCTGACCGACGAACAAGTTTTAGGGATCTGTGCTCCCCACATCCCCAATAGAGTTACAGATGCCCTAACCACTCCTTGCTTTTTAAAAATATACTTAATTAGATTTTGTGTACATTGACTTGAGTGTTTCAGATCCCCTGGAACTGGAGTTACAGACAGTTGTGAGCTGCCATGTGGGTGCTGGGATCTGAACCCAGGTCCTATGGAAGATCAGTCAGGGCTCTTAACTGCTGAGCCATCTGTCCAGCCCCACACCTTGCTTTTTACATGACCTCTGGGCATATGAGCTCAGGCACTCACGCTTGTAGGGCAACCACATTACCAACTGAACCATCTCCACAGCACCACAACAAATAACATTTTTATTATGTGTTCCAGCAAATTGGGCAACCCAATGGACTTACGTGCGCTTGTTCTCAACCCAGAGTCTGCACTGAGGTAAGGGCCACCAGTTTCCTAGGTTACAGATTGTAGTGAACAGGGTCCTGAGCTCCACTTAACTTCCTTTCTTGTTTCTCTCTAGACAAAAACAAGGCCTTCGAGGACTTCATCCACACCTGTGACCACCAGGCAGCCATCTGCTTCTCCCAGGCTCCACACAACAAGAAGTACAAAGGAGGTCACTGTTAGACTTGTCACCTCAGTGACTGGGACACCTTCCCTGCCTGCCTGGTTGTGTTCACTACACACTGTATCCTCTTATAAAGAACCTATTAAAAGAACTTGGCTTTGGTGATTGTAGTCTCTGTCTACCAAACATAACAAGATACTCAGAGAACATCATTCTGTCTAGCCTTGGGGCTGAAGATTAATGGAAAAGACATTGCCATTAGGAGAGCACCTTGAAGAGTGGGTGATGAGCCCGGCCATGCCTCTCATCCCAGCACTCTGAGATGGAGAGGAAAAGGCACAGACGGATACATCTCTTGAGCTCAAGGCAAACCTGATCTAAAAAGCAAGTTCCAGGACAGCCAGGACTGCTACACAAAGAAACCTTGTCTCATAAAAACAACTACATTAAAAGGACTCAGCCTGCGATACAGGAGGGTTTGGGGCAGACAGAAGGGGAGGAGGGGAGAGATGAGGCAGGGAAAGGGACAGGAAAGGAGGGGGAGGAGTGTGGAGGGAAGGAAAGGGAAGACAGAGAGGTAGGAGAGGAGAGAAGAGAGAAAGATGCAGTGTCACGTGGGCACTAAAGGAACATCTTGGCCCTAAAAATACCGGATTCATAGCGCTCCTGCTGTGCGCTCATTCTAGGAAGCAGGATACAGGAAACCCATCTGGACTGACAGTAGTAAATGACCTGAGGACAGGATTACATCCTGTGACCTTCCAGTCTTCACTGTGCCGAAACACACGCCACAGGATAGTTGTCCCAGTCAAGTGCACAGCAGAATAACTTTGTACAACAAACAAAACAAAGCACATCCTCTTCTCTACCTTTCTATATTAACTGAACCCACAGGTGAAGCCAGTCTAATCTTTGGCTCCCTGGTCAACCAGGTTTAGGAATAAGCTGTCTCATTGGCGGGTTTAAGGCTACGTGGTTCTCTGTCTCTCTTTTCCTTTAGTGAACAGCTGCCCAGTCCTCTGCCTTTCCACCCCCATTGCAATCCCCAATGGTGTCCCAGAGCTCAGGCCTCGCCCCTCCCAAGGTCAGGCCTGGTGAGCAACAGGTGCAGCCGGAGCCGACTTCGCAGACACAGTGACTGGTAAGTAGCTGGTAGTAGCTGTCCAGAGACTGGCTGGAAGGGTAGGGGGATCTTGCACTTGGGCACAACCAACTCAAGTCACCCCCGACATGGTTTTTATCCAGGTAAGATCTGAGAAGTGGGGAAAAGGAGGTGATGGGGTGCTAAGTTAGAGTTTATATGGGAGAAGGCCAAACACAGAGGTCAGAGGGCATTGGGCCAGCAGACATGGTTCAACAGCCACCATGTGGTTGCTGAGAATTGAACTCGGATCCACAGGAGGAACAGAAAGTGCTCTTAAGTGCTGAGCATCTCTCCAGCCCCTGCGATGGTTGATTGTCAGCTTCACACACTGGGTAGGAGAGCCTCAGCTGAAGGATTGCCTGCATCATATTGGCCTGTGGTCACATCTGCTGGGCAGGCATTTGCTGTCTTCCTTCCTTTCTTCTTTTCCTTCTCTTCCCTTCTTCCCTCCTCCCCTTTGTCTCTCTTCCCTTCTTGTCTGTCTTTATTTTTTATTTATTTGCTTATTTATTTGCTTATTTATTTGCTTATTTATTTATTTATTTATTTATTTATTTGTATGTGTGTTTGTTTTTAGTTTTGGTATTTCGAGACAGTTTCTTTGCATATCTATGGCTGTCCTGGGACTCACTCTGTAGACCAGGCTGGTCTCAAACTTGGATATTCACCCACCTCTGCCTCATGAGTGCTGACATTAGAGGCATTAAAGGGGTACACCACCACCACCATCTGCTATACTCCTAATTTTCAAATGAAGTTTGAAGGCTAGTAAGATGCAGCCTATGATGCAAGCCTGTAGACCTGAGTTCAATTCCTGGAACCCATTTAAAGGTGGAAGGAGTGAACTGACTCCACGGAGTTATCCTCGGACCTCCACTTGTGCGTACAAGTTCTCTCTCTCTCTCTCTCTCTCTCTCTCTCTCTCTCTCTCTCACACACACACACACACACACACACACACACACACACACTCACATTCATTAATTTGTAACTGAATCTAGCTCAAGGCTGTGTGAGGTTCTTGGGATAGACTCAGTGCTTACTTTATGCAGTTAACATGGAGGATTGTTGGGGACAGCTACTCCTGCCTGGGGCCACACGTCACTGTCAGCATCCCTCAGACCCAACCCCAGGAGCAGTGTCTAGATCTTCTTATGACGTCAGAGCATCCATGGGGGAGGGACTTGGCACTATGCCAGTCACTGACTTGAGCTGGTTGGGGTGTTGAGCCAGCCCTTTCTCTGTGACTCTGTGACAGCACTGATTCAGTCTCTGTCACCATCTACAGCAGCTCTGCAGGTCGGGACTGTGTGTGAGGGTGCACATATTCTACTTCTGTGCTACACACACAGTAGTCACAGGCCCCGTGTGCTGACTGGACACTGTCAGAGCACAGCCACAGGACTCTAAAGAGAGAAGACACTTGAGTCCTCCCCTCACTCGGGATGAAATTCCTTCTGCTGGTCACTCTGCTCACAGGTAGGACCCTTGTCCTCTTTGAGTGACCCCCCATTTCCCTTGTCTTCACAGTGCCTCAATGGTCACACCTGAAGTTCTGGTTGGAGTTCCTGTTGGGGTCTAATAGCATCTGGGGTAGGACTTCCTTCTCACGCCCATGTCGACAAAAGCTGGCACCTTTAGCTCCTAGACCTGAACTCAGATGACTCCTTAGGAAAGTCCACTACATTCACCTACCCAAGCAAAGAAAGCACTTCTGCCTCTGCCATATTACCCTGGCACCCATTTCCCTGACCCTAAGGTGTCCTGTGTAGCTAGAGTTTTCCTGCCTTGCCCACAGTCAGGACAAATCTCTATCACCCGCCAATCCCACAGCCGCTCAGACCCAACCAAGTAAACACAGAGACTTATATTGCTTACAAACTGTATGGCCGTGGCAGGCTTCTTGTTAACTGTTCTTATATCTTAAAGTAACGCATTTCTACAAATCTATACCTTGTCACGTGGCTCGTGGCTTACCAGCATCTTCACATGCTGCTTGTCCTGGCAGTGGC